CCTTAGTTCTTCTAGCTTTCAGCATAGATTTCAACATCTGCACAAGGAGAGTGCGTTCCTTAGAATGTAAATGTCCCATGTTTTACTCCCAAAGATTAATCCTTTTCCTCGGTTACTTACTCATGAATCGCAATGCTGCACACAAAAAACGCTGGCCTCCACGAGGGTTCTCTCCAGCCAATGCCAATCCCCAGTACTCAGGTCCCTGTTTAGATGCCACTTTGCGGGGGTCCAGCCTCTGCTGATCAGGGCCTGAGTTGGGGGGAGGGAATGAGAAAAGACAGAGAAACAGTGGGATTGGGGGACTCCCTCTCAGGTAGCAAGAGCGAGAGAGAGAAAATTTATTTTACCGCATGCCTCTTATATAGGACAAAAGCCTCACAAAGGAAGGTGAAACCATACAAGCAGGATATGTTAATGTCTGAGTTAAATCTCACAAGCAGGGTAAGTATCAATGACTAAACTATGCATATCTTAACATCTATGCTAAGCAGGGCAATCACTTAGGATGAGCAGGTTCCGGGCCAGACTTGGCCCGCTTGGCTATCCATAGAAATGCAACCAAAAGGTCAGGGGAGACAAAGGAAAATGTAGGCTTAGTTCCTTGAACTTAAGCCAAAGAATATAAGGGCCCTGCCAGCTTATATTCTGGTTTCCTTCACTCCTGGGATTTTCTAATCCCTCCCACTTGAATTCTGGTTTCAGAGCTCCTGCTCTACCTAGCTTTGGTATGTGGTGAGTTCTGCAGTTTGTATAGCCATGCTTGTGACATTCTGGGAGGGATAGTGCAGGTTGTGATTTGCCATCTGCTGTTGCAAGATATAGGTAGGATTCAGAGGGAGAGGAGACACTGCTCATGTTCTGAAGTGTTTTCCACTAAATGGAGAAACTGACCCTCTCCATAACTTTTATTTTTTACTTTCTCTCCATTTTGGCTTCACAGTGTACATACAGTTTGTGTAAACATTGGTACTAGGTGATATATGCATATAAATATTTATGCAAGCATAAAAAGTCTGTCTATGTGGGTAAACTCCATATTATGTCATTTATTTGTCCATCATTACATATCTGTGGTGTCTAGCTCATTTCTCTTATTTTCTGTCATTGTACCTTTTTCTACCTGAACATCTATTCCATATTTTTAAAATGCACAAATGTGTTTCCTCTTCTTTTTCTCACTTTGAAGTTCCCCTTCCCACCCCTCACTGGGGCTTCAATGTTGGACCAGCAAGTTTCAGGACCTCCTGGGAAAACCCTGCTTCTCTCACCTTGCCTGCTCTAACTGCTCTCTCTGGCCAGCTCAGGCTGATGCAGCAGGTGTTACCACCACCCTGTGGCTGTGGGTGATAAGCAGGAATATGAGAATCTGTCTTTTTACTGATCCCCAGTCTTGCCCTGAACCCTGGAGTTCCCACACCCATGGATTTAAACACCACATCTTTCTGAAGGCAGGATTGTGCTTATTTTCCTCATCTCCATCTCAAGGGATTGTTTCTGGTGTTTATTGACTCCCCGTTTAAAAATTACATATTGACAAATTATAGTTGTATGTGTTTATATACAAAGTGATATATCATTTTTGAATTCAATATGAAATGATTAAGTCAAATTAGCTAACCTATCCATCAATTTAAATATTTGATTTTTTTGTGATAAGAATGCTAACAATCCACATTCGCTCATCACCTGCTGATAATTATCCATGCTAGGGACAAGAAAGTCTCTGCACTTAACTTTCTCTCATATGTTTCTTATCCACTGTTTTTATTTTTGTTTGTTTGTTTTTGAGTTGGAGTTTCACTCGGTCACCCAGACTGGAGTGCAGTGGCCGCTCCCGGCCACCGCAGCCTCGCCTGCTGGGCTCCAGCAATTCTTCCGTCTCAGCCTTCCAAGTAGCCAGAATTACAGGCGTGCACTACCACGCCCGGCTGATTTTTTTTATTTATTGTAGAGATGAGGTCTCGCTGCCCAGATGGGTCTCGAACCCGCGGGCTCAGGCAATCCACTCACCTCAGCCTTCCAAAGGCACGGGATTACAGGCTGAGCCACCAAGCCTGGCTTCTTATTCACTGTTAACCCCTGACAGATGCCTTCTAGCGATGTCTGTCACCTTCTTCCTTCTACAGCTAGCACAATCTTTGTGCACCCACCTCCCCAAGGACTATCTCTTTAGAGAGTGACTTTATGCGCAAACTACACATGCTCTTCCTGCCTCCTTGATTCCCATAAACACCCAATTCCCATTCCCATCTGATAATTTCTTCCCACTCTCATTTCCTATTATCCTGTTGGTTTTAACCTGGAGGGTGACTGCTAGATTCTTTGTTTTCTGCCTTGGTTTCTAAATCATAGATTACTTTCAAGCTAAAAGTTTCCCTCTACTCATTATTTTGGCCTCATTTAATAAGTCTTGGTTTGTGATTTTGTTCATAGGAAATTAAATTTTAATACTTTTTTGGATTCATCAGTGTGATTTAGTCTAATTCCCACTCTTCCCACCCTCTATTCTTCCACACCACCCTTCTGTCCCCAAGATTCTGGAGTTTTATTCTTCCCTTTTTGTGATAATTTTTATTTAAACCTTTAAGTTTATTCAAACTAGAAATTCTTCTGTAGATGTGTAGAGAGCTGAGTAACTCCTTGCTTTTGGGGGACACTATTTTTAGGATGATATCTTTGGGCACTGAGGGATCCCCATTCCACAGGCTTAAATCTTAAGTATTTTCACTATTGCTTCTTTTAATGTATTTCACGGTTTGCAGGTCAGTTTCTTCTTTAACTGATCAATGATACAGTGGCTTCTATGGCTTTTAATTTCAGAAATATTTTTTTAATCTTTTATACTGATTTTCATTTACAAGTTGAGTTAATGGTAACCAATCATGTTCCTTAAATGGGTATGACTAGAGTTTTTTCCCACCGTGTTTATAATTTAGATGGATTTTCACATCTTGAGCCAGATAAGTGTGGGGAATAGGACTCTGCAAAGCACAGATATCACAGGTGGCTCAGATTTACAATTCTAACTCAGGCACAGGTTGTATCATTGTACCTAGCACATAGCACTCAGTAAATAACACCTTTGATTTAAATGAATGCAGCTGCAAATACTTTCTTAGTCTTGATGTTTGTTAATTTCTGTGGCATTAAAGTTATGCTACTCCTTCTGCTGCTTGTTCTGGTTTTCCAGTCTATCACCTGGCCTGCTGTTATATTATGTTTCATTTATTACAAATACTCCATCAGCCTGGTTTCTCTTTACTGCCTTTGTACACACGTTTACACATGGGGATCTGGATTAGCTTAGGATCCCATATTATCCCTCCCTGCCTCCTATCCCTTTCTGAAGCTCTCCAGTCCCTCCTTTTCGTTTGTTCCTCACAGCCTATTCCAATGTCTGACTTTGGTGCCCACTGAGTTCTATTACAAGCACTTCACATTCATGGATATTACATCTTTGGCAAAGTTGTTGACCTGGGCTGGAAGAGGACTCCGGGATGATCCTCTGTACTGAACAACCACCCAGTGGGAGAGACTGATACTTAACATGCAGACCTTATGTTTACTTCTCCAAGCAAATAAATGTTGGAAGAGAGTCTGTAGGATGATATGAAGATTTAAGATTCATGTTTGAATATTTACTATTTACGTTATGTGGTTCTTGGAGGTGCCTTGGGGTTAGGACTTTGGGAGAAAAATGTGGATATTAAGGAAGTCAGGAAAGGAAAAGATAAAATCAGGGACAATTCAATAATTCAGGGAAAGTTCCTAAGGGACTCTTTCTGGCTACTTACTACTCAGAAGCCAGGCCCTCACTTCCTACAAAGGCTACAGGCCAGTAGGCGCCAACGAGGTTCAAATAAAATGTCAAATCTATCTCATGCCTTTCATCAGGTTGGGGACTATGGATGCAAAATTTCAGGGGCACAAAAAAAACTCTAGTCAGGGTAAATAATATTTTTATGTAATCTATTTTAAAAATCAAAATGAATGCAAAAAGTCCATGTTGAACAAAACAGTCAAAATTATGCCTCATCTGCCAACACCCCACCCCCATTCCCACCAACTTCTGGAAGGGATGTTTCCTCCAAGCCACACCTGTCCTTCAGCCTCCAATAAAAACCTCCGAGACTTCTGGATTCAGCCTCAGATCCTCACCCCCACTATCACCAGGGGATCTTTTGCTGTTTACCCCAAGACCAGTCTCCTCCATCACCTAAAACCCTTGGGAAACACGACCAGAGTCTCCCTCACCTGCAGTCTGGGAGTTTGACCCAATCCAATTCCGCTGACCTCCCCCCACCCACCCAAATAGCCTTGGAGTTCTCTGTCAGTCCCGGCGCACCCTCTTCCTCTCGGGAACATAGGGCCGGTGTCGCCCCCAAACCGGGGGTCCCAGCAGGCACCTCGCTGCCTCCCCAGCCAAGTGCTTCTCCCTGAGCGGCACCTGTCCGGACCTGGGTTCTGCCCGGGTAAGGGCGCATCAGCGCGGAGATGCGTGTGGTGAGCTTAGCTCACTTGCCCCGCAGAAGGTCAGAGAACCGGGTGCGACCACCGGCCGCCGCACAGACAAAGCGCCAGGACGACATCTTCCAGAAACCTTTAGCATTCCCGCCACGCTCTCGCAGTCGGCCCGTCTCATTAGCCCTCAGAGGAGAAACCTGTGAACCTCGCGGTCTGGGCATCCAAACAATTGACTCCTAAACTTGCTTATAGTATGTGTGCTACTGATGTCGGAGGCACCCTGAGCGAAGCCAACGCCATCTTCCCGCTCTGTCTCCAAAACTACATTCCCCAGAGGCCTCTGCGGTCACTTCCGTCCTCCATAACAACCTCCCCTACCTTGTAGTGTTGGCTTACAGGAGCACTTCCGGTCCTCCATAACTGCCTCCCCTACCTTGTAGCGTTGGCTTACAGGAGTACTTCCGGTCCTCCATAACTGCCTCCCCTACCTTGTAGCGTTGGCTGACAGGAGTACTTCCGGTCCGGCCCGTTAGGCTGTCTGGCACCGGGTTAGGCCCCTCTATCCGGGTCTTTCCCACACCTCCGCACTTCGTTATCCGACCTTCGACCTCAGGATCCGCGACGCGCACCCGCGTTCCGTGAGTGCTCTATGGTCAGTCAACACGTCCGTCTGCTTGTCCCCGTCTTACGAGACCCAGGCAGGAAGAGGCAGAGCTGACTCTGAACTCGAGGGTTCGCCTACCTCCACGCGATTTTCCTTTCATTCGAGCCTGCAGGGTTAGAGACAAACCGTCACTCCGTTGCTTGGGAACAAGGGCTTCACACCCTGTCCAGAACCTGGGGCCGAGCTTGAGGGTAGTAGTCACCTTGGGCCCCACTTGCAGGGCTCTGGATGGGGATTGAGCTGCGCTGGTGATTTCTGTTCTCCCCAACCCTAACGGTGAGGCTTTGGAGCAGACTCCGCTTCAACTCGTGGGAAGGAAGTTTCTACCGAGGCACTCTCATTTCTCTTCACATTCTGTCTTCTGAGACTTTGCCCTTCTCCAGGGAGAGCACTCAGGAGACCAGGAAAATGGCCATGGGGCTTCTGAGAGCCAAAAAAGAGGTGAGAATCACCTGCAGGTCCATCTTGGCTGTTAACAGGATGGATCCCCTTACCTTCTTGCCCTGGAGGCTGCCTTGTCGGTATTTGCCTTGCCTGGTCCTGGAGGAGTAGCTTCTTCTACATGGAATCCTCCCTCCCTCACCATTTCTTTTCTGCTCTATCCATACCCCAGTCATTCACAAAGTAGTTAATTGTGAACAACACACATTGAGCGGTTTAAATAAAATTTTAGGGATATCTGTATTTGATTGTTCGGTGATGTGGATGAAGGGCAGGGACAGTAGAGATGTCTGTGATTTGAAGTGGTTGGGAAGGACTCCTAGAAGTAGAGCTGGCTTAGCTACCCCAGATGAGTTGGGTGAGTTGGAGATTTGGAGGAAGACATACCATTTGGAAGAGAGAAGGAAGCATGGTCAATCTCAGTGGCTGGGCCACGGCGCACACTGCCCTTGTCATAGGAGGATTGTGGTGACCAAAGGACTTACTTAAGGTTGATTTTTAAATAGTTTACATATTTTAAATGTTTACAGGTGAAGATATAGACCAGGTATTCACATATGGAAGGAGGAGTTTGATATGATCTGACCTGAATTTTACATTTGAGACCATTTTCAGCTTCTGGCAATTGGAGATTTCACCAAAAATTTCAGGTTTCCCACTTCTCTGAAAATAAGTCTTCCCTAAGTCTGTATTGCTCTGTTGTCAGATAGTTTGAGCTGAACAATGTCTTTATCATTTGGATAGGACTTGCAGGGTCAATCTGCTGCTTTCTAGTCTCCTTCATACCAAGTTTGAAACCATTGTCTAGCTAACTTTTTGCCTGCCTTTCATATTTATTACCTACCTAACCCCTAAGGGTTTACATTTTCTGCCTCTGAGTCTGGAAGAGGACAGATCAAACAGAATCCTAAGTGCCAGGCTGAGTAGTGTAGACTTTGTTTTTGAGTAAGCTGTGTTTTAAAGGATGTTGAGAGGGCATTTGACTTAAAGAAATCAATGAAATGTGAGAAATAGTAATTGACGATGTATAGGGACTTAAGGGGAAGCTTTCTAACCTCTTGGAATGGTGACTGTGTTGACTTGGACATAATGGAATGCAATTAACACTTATTAAGCACTAACACAGTTACCAAGCTGGCTTACTGTCATTTTGTTATATGGGTTAATTTGTTTATTTCAGAATTATCTGGAACATCTGTATCAACAAGTCTTGAGTAGAATTTAGACAGAAAATGATATTTCTTAATCTTAGACACCTGTTGTGGGTATTAATATGTTCCTGGATGTTGTCAGAGCAACACTGATAATTCTTTGTTCCTCGTTTGCAAAATATTTCATTCATTTGAAAGCATTAATACCAGGAATGCATAAGAAATCCAATTCAGAACATTTCCCAAGGTAACACTGAATCTTTGTGTGTGTACCTTCTTCACCACGGTAAATGTCACTAGGGAAGCATTCTTTCTGATTTTCTGGGGAAAACCAGAAGTTTGTATTTGCTGACTTTTCCTGTATCACCTCCTCTACTCTCGATAGGACCCTGAGGTCTACTCTGAACTGTATCCTGTATGGAACCAACATGTTCCTCAAGGTAGCTTTTTAAAAAAGTATTTAGGAAAAATTTATTAAAGTGTGTGCACATTTCAATGGCTAAGTTGTTAAAGATGAAACTTTTGTGCCTAGAGAAGTGCCTAGCACACAAGAAATGTTTAGTGCCTGAGGGAACCACCACCATAAATAAATTAATTGAAGGAACTAAGTTACAAAGGAGTTTCTGTTGTTTGTTTGGGTATGTTATTTAGGGCATATAATTAATCACATATTTCAAGGGGTTTGGGTAGAATTTCCAGGTATTCTGATAGTTATGACATTTGAATTATACAAATAATCATAGCACACATTTAGTAGGATATTAGGTATTACTGCCAAGAGAATAAGATAAAATTTGTGTTAAATCTGTAACAAATACGATGAGCTAGCAGGTACAATATGTTACATTTTTCTTAGCATTTTTTATGAATTCTGTTCAACAAACTGACTGAATGTCTGCTATGTGCAGAACACTTGATGAATGACATTCAGTGATGTGGAAAGTATAGCGTGCACACTTAGGAGTCTTCCATTTTATTTTGGGATTCCTTTATTATTGGGATTTGATTTAATTTTATACACACAACCACCTCTACAAACACATTTTGACAGGTTCTACTGATAAAATCATACTGTGTTAAACTTACCAATGTGTATCTTCCTAGCCCTGTTTTTAAAGATGAAGAAATAGCTAACACTTAACCCACTGAAAATTATTTCCATAATAATCCATTGAATGGATTAACTCATCTACTATTTCTCAATATTTGGATATTTATTCTGTTTTCAATATTTAACTTCCAATAATACTTCTGTGGTCAAGTTTATACATGAAATTCTTTTATAGGTTTGTATTCTCAAAACAAAATATGACAAGGAAGGTGAATAGAAATTACTATTTTGAAGCACTGAGCTTTGAACTCTGCTTATTCTAGAGAATTTGATCCTGCCGATTATTTCTTCCTTTTTTGAGATTCCCTTCTTCCTTCTCCGTGCCTTTGCTTTGCACTGTGCTTTTTTCATATCCTTATTTTTAATTATTACATTGTATAGTTTTCAATTACCAGAGTAGACTTGTCAACTCAGATCTTTTTCTTCTCTCATATGAAAACTCACAGTAGTGATCTGATTTGTTTCCGAATGTTTATATGGTCCTTGCTATCCACTACTTGTTTTTGTAATCCTCATTTTCCCCAACATTGTGGTTACATCCCTTTTCTGTGCAGAAGCCTTTAGTGGCTCACTATAGTGTCTTAAATAAGCTTATCAAGGACTGGGGTTCTTTCACCTCTTCACTCCACTCTGTTGTCCACAGTGTCAGCCTCATCCAGGCTGGTTCTTCTCAGAGTCATAGGATGTTTGCCAATAGCAACTTTGCTTAATTCCCACAATGACCTTATATGGTAAGTACTATTATAATGTCCATTTTTATAGGAAATTGAGACACATAGTTACCAAAGCAAAATCAGGGAGGGAGGAGAGAGAATACTGTCATTTGAACACAGTTTGTTTCCAGAGTTCTTGAACTTTAGTATGCATCAGAATCATTTGGAAGGTATGTTAAGACAGATTGTTGGGCTTGGCTTCAGAATTTCTGATTCAGTAGGTCTAGGATGAGGTCTGATAATTTTTTATGAATTTTCACAGGACCCATAGATTGAGATTTTCATATGAAATCTTCCAATATTTAATTGATATAAATAAAAGTTTTAAAGCAGTATATGGGTCAAGCTAAGCCAATCTATGGATTGCAGATTGTACCCAGTTTTAAGACAGAATAAGTGTTGGGCTAGGTAGAATCCCAGAACTAGATTCCTAGCTTATTTGGGCTTGGACACCTCACCAGACTTCCATGCCAAGGACCATAATGTATTCCCATCCTCCAAAGTACAGCTTTCTAGATAGCAGAGGTTCGTTTGAAACTTCGTTGATGGTCTAATAATGATAAATCGTTTTCAGTCATTTAAAAATATTCGACTGCTAAGTGTTTGCAGATTCTGTTCTAGACACCAGGGCAATAGTAGTGAACCATGCACATGGAATTTATAGTCTAGTGGGGAGCCAGAAGATAAAAATGACTAATGCATGTATTATCTTAGAGTTAAGGGAATACAGTAAAGTAGGAGAGGGGACTGAAACCCAGATGAGGAGATAGAATTTTAGCTAGAATGACTAGGGAAGGTCCTCCCTAAACATTTATGTATAGCAGTCAGTTGTCTGAGTCCTTTACAATTATCAGCTCATCTAATCCTTACCACAATCCTGTAAAACAAGCACTGTTATTTTTAGTTCACAGAAGGAGTGACTGAAGTGCTGAGTGGTTATCTAATTTAGTGCTTGAGATTACACTAGTTGGGGACAGAGATGGGTTCCAGATCCAGACAATGTGGTTTGAATCCACGCTCTTCACCACCAGCCATTTCCTCTTCTCAGGCTGAGCTAGCAAGTGGCAGTTTGAGGCAGAGGAAGGAGTGAGTCCTGCTCTATGAAGTGTGTGTGTGTGTGTGTGTGTGTGTGTGTGTAGTGTTGGATTACTCACCCTGCAGCCCCCAGAAACTCCACTCCTTCTTCAAGTAGAACATAAATACTTAGGCCAATCAGTCTTGGAAATTTTTCAAACTCAGCAAAATGATTATTTACTATTTTAGTGTGTGTGTGTGTGTGTGAGAGAGAGAGAGAGAGAGAGAGATTTTCTTCTGTCTGGTTTTTAAAGCTCCTATGTAGGGGCTTTTGTTTTGCTTTCATCCCCCATAGCAGCTAGTCTGGGTTATTGACAGTAATAGGTGCACAAATGATGCTGTTTGAACAAAGATAGGAGAACAATGATCTTAGACCCCTTGGCACCAAGGTCACAATCCAAAGTAGGGTCTACCTCTTTTAGGGGAGCCTTTGACCTCCATTCTAAACTGTGAAAGGTGCATTTCTAGATGAGCAGTGGTATGTTTTATGTTGAAGGCATTCGTGGCATTCAGAGATGTAGTTGTGGACTTCACACAGGAGGAGTGGACATTGTTGAGCCCTGCTCAGAGGACCCTGCACAGGGAAGTGATGCTGGAGACTTACAACCACCTGGTCTCACTGGGTAAGAATGATTTCCTTTAGCACTTAAATTTGCTCTACAGAGTATTTTTCACTCATCATAAAGAAGGGCAGACTGTGGAGCACTTTTACCTTAGAGTTGGGCTTAACAACAATAATTTACCTTTTTCCTCTGGATAAATCTGGATTTAGTAGAGATGAAAGCAGGTAGGTTGAGTTATTCATGTTATATACCAGGAGGACCCATTAAAAATCCCTGAACTTATTTATAAAAAAATTATATATACTTACATGTTTAAACTTCAGTCACCTTCAGAGTATTCTCTGTTTGATGCAACACAGCTATCAAGATGCTTTTTCCACTGTGCAAACAGTTTTTTAACTCATCAATGTGTATGCCTTTTAATGCTTCTGCTGTTTATTGTTTCACCCCTTCTACATTGGCAGACTTTCCCTTTGAGGACTTTTTAAAATCTGGGGAGACAAAAAAGGTTGCTCAAGGTGATATCAGGTGGATAGAGAGGGTTGGGTACAGGGGTCATGCCATTTTGGGCCAAAAAATACTGAAAGCTCAGCATGGTGTGGACAGTTGTGCTCATGTATCACCATCATGAAATTGGCAAACACCGAAAGAATCTCAACAACAACAAAAATTCACTGAAGCTGAACGTAGCCTCTCACAATAACACTAATTAGTACACTGATGCCAACTAGCATGCCATCTAGTGTGTTCCTAGAACCCTTAACTAGCAGGGGGAAGCCTATACTACAAGGAGCCCACCTTCCAAAAAATAATTCCCTTTTTGGGGGGGGTCTCCCTCACATGACACTGTGTTTCCAGGCCTCTTTCCCAAGGCTGGGGCTCTCTTTTTATTTTATCTTGCTCCAAACTCAAGAGTTTTTTTCATCCATGAAGTATTAATATGCTGTCTTTCTGATTGCAATCATCTTTCCTTAACCCCTTCTACTTCAGAATGGTAAATCATCATAGGTCTTTTATACTCTCTGTGTTTCCCCACCCATTTTAGTTCTTGAATGGCATCTTGAACCTTAGCTAAGAATCTCCTTATTTTCTTTCCTATGAGCAGAAATTCCATTTTCCAAACCAAAACTCATTGCTCAGCTGGAGCAAGGGGAAGAGCCCTGGAGAAAGGAGGGAAAACAACAACTGGATTTCTGGGCAGGTAAGTGTGAGCATGTGGTAGATGGAATAGTCTACAATTTGACAGATAGGGAATGAGGAGATGTCTCTCAGGTACCAGGAAGAAGCTCTTCTTCAGGCCTCCTTAGCCACTGGTAAGGCTGCCTGGCATGACCTTCCTTCTAGAATATAACCTTCAGTTGAAGAAGGAACTTTCCTGGTTTCCTTGTTTTTTCCTTCTACCAGGGAGTCTTCCTTCCTCATTTGTCTTGCCTTCTCTTGCTTAGTCTTTGTCTTGCTTAGTCTTTGTTCATTCATGGTCTTTTTTCTTTCCTCCTGATCTTACAAACTACACCTCCCCTGTGAAGGTTAAATCTACCACCCTTCTGGATACTTTCTAGTTTATCTTATGCTAAGGTTAATTATCTCCACTTCTCCAGTTCCTATCATTTAAAAAATCTGTTACACAGTACTTTTTTCAACATATTTCAATATTAGGAATTTATAACTATTCTTCGAGAGAGAGTGTATGTGTGTGTCTCTAAGCCATCTATATTGTTGTTTGGCATATTTTAAAATTTTATATAAATGGTATCATATTATGCGTATCCTTCTGCTATAGTTTGCTTTCTTCTCTGACACTAATTTTGTAAGATTCATCTCTATTGGTATATTGGTAGATGTAGCTCTGCTTCATTCATTGTTATTGCCATATGATATTGTTTTATATGCATAATTATACAGTTCATTTATCTATTCCATTTTTGTTGTACAGTTATGTTTTACCATTTTTTCCTGTAAATTAAAGAAATTATTTAGTGTCCTTGGGTACATAAGCACACATTTACCTTGGACATATACCTAGCAATGAAATAGCTGAGTGAAAGACTGTGCACTTGTTCAATCTGACTAGATGATGCCAAATTGTTCTCCAAGGTTGTAGTATTAGTTTTCTAGGACTACCATAATAAAGTACTACAAACTGAGTGGCTTAAAACAACAAAAATTTATTGTCTCACAATTCTGGAGGCTAGACACATAGATCAGAGTGTTAGTAGGGTTGGTTCTTTTTAAGGACTGTGAAGAAGAATATGTTCCATGCCTTTATTCTAGCTTCTGATGGGTTTGCTGGTAATCTTTGGTACTCCTTGATATGTAGGAGCATTACCCTAATTTTTACCTTTATCTTCATACAGCACCTTCCCACTCCATGTGCATGTCTCTGTGTCCCAATTTTCCCTGTTTATAATTCAATCATATTGCATTAGAGCCCATTCTAATGACCTCATCTTGACTAGTTAAGTCTGCAACAACCCTATTTCCCAATAAGGTCACTTTCTGAAGTATTGAGGGTTTGGACTCTACCACATCTTTTTGGAAAAGATAGCAGTTGGTTTGTACTCACATAGCATTGTATGAGAATTCTAGTTGCCCTGTGTTCTTGTTAACACTTGATATAGTCAGACTTTAGTTTCTGACCATCTTTGGGGTATGAAACAGTAGTTTTGATTTCATTAGTATTGAACTTGAGCATCTTTTTATATCTTGGTGTTTCCTCTTCTATGAATTGCCTGTTCAAGTATTTTGCCTGCTTTTCTTTTTCTTGTTGATTTGAAATTTTACTTTATTTACTTATTTATTTTTAACAAATCTTGGAAATGCATTCTTTTCAGTCAGATGTGTGTTATCTTCCAGTCTGTGGCCTGCCTATTTTCTTTTTTAAAAAACTGTTTTTGAAATAATTTGTCTTAGCCGGGCTCGGTGGCTCAGCCTGTAATCCCAGCACTTTGGGAGGCTGAGGTGAGTGGATTGCCTGAGCCCACGGGTTCGAGATCCGTCTGGGCAACTTGGAGAGACCTCATCTCTACAGTAAGTCAAAAATTAGCCGGGCGTGGTAGCGCGTGCCTGTAGTTCCAGCTACTTGGAAGGCTGAGGCGGAAGGATTGCCAGAGCCCAGCAGGTGGAGGCTGCGGTGGCCTGGAGCTGCCACTGCACTCCAGTCTGGGTGACAGAGTGAGACTCCAACTCAAAAAAAGAAAAAAAAAAAAAGAAAGAAATAATTTGTCTTGATTTCTAAAAATAATACAGAAAATTTCCATCTACTCTTCACCCAACTTTCTCCAGTGATAACATCCTACATAACCACAGTACATTTCAAAACCAGGAAATTGACATTGGTTCAATACTGTTAAGCAAACTAAAGACTTTATTCAGACTCAGATTTTATCAGTTTTTACATGTATTCTTTTTTATTGTTACACAATGGCAATATGAAAGTTTGTTTCATAAATAGGTTCGTGTAACCACCACCACCACAATAAGAATACAGAATTTTTCCATCACTACAAATAAATTTCCCTGTGCTATCTTCTCTCTGATTTCAGTCACCACTGATCTGTTCCCCATCACTATAATTTTTCTTATTTCAAGAGTATGTAAAATTTAGCCACTGTTAAAAGTGCTTTTTGTAATTAAAAAAGTTTAATGTGGTTAGATTTGTGAATCTTTTTGGGGGTGTGTGTGTGTGTGTGTGTGTGTGTGTGTGTGTGTGTGTGTGTCAGGATCTGATTTAAGGAATCCTCTTTGACAAGATCATCAACACCTTATTTAGATTTTCATCTATGGATTAAGATATATTTTGCTTTTTATACTTAAGTCTTTATCACTCTGGAATTGATTTTGTGAGTGTTGGGTGAAAGGGATTTTTCTTTTATATTTCTAAGTGCGTAGACATCAGACTTGATACCATTTATTGAATAGTTCATTATTTTACCCAATTTTCAATGCCATTTATCTTGTATTTTCAGATTCAGTATATGTATGGATTGATTTCTGGACTGTATTCTGTTTCATTGATGATTTGCTTATCCCTGCACCTATATTACACTGTTTTAATTTACTATGCTTTATAATAAATCTTGATGTCTGATAGGTTAAGTTTTCTCTTCTTATTTTTCACAATATCTATGTGAGTTTTAGCCATTTGTTGTTCCTAAACATTTTACAATCAGCTTGTCAGATTTCATAAAATATTCTATCAGGATTTTGTTATAATTCTATTGGATTTATATGTTAATTAATATGCAAATATATTGATCATATTTATTGTATATTAATACATTGATTTGGAGAGAATTGGCATATTTTACAATAAGTAACTTATACATAAGCTTATTATATTTGTTGTTTTGCAAGTTATATTTTTAAACAAATTTTTATAATTTTTTTGTTGATATCTATAAATAAAATTTATTTATTTATTTGTTTCTTTGAGTTGGAGTCAGACTCTGTTGCCCAGGCTGGAGTGCAGTGGCATACTCACGGCCACCGCAGCCTTGATCTGTTGTGCTCAGGCAGTCTCTCTACTTCAGCCTTCCAAGTAACTGAATCCACAGGTGTGTACCACTGTGCCTGGCTATTTTTTATTTATTTATTTATTGTAGAGATGAAGTCTTGCCAAGTTTCCCAGGCTGGTCTCAAATTCCTGGGCCCAGGCAATCCCCTCACCTCTGCCTCCCAAAGAGCTGGAATTATAGGCATGAGCCACTGTGCCTGACCAATAAAATTTATTTCATCATATTGATCATATATTTGGTAGCCTTGCTGAATGATTTAATAATTTGTCATATATAGGTTATTTAGAGTTTTATATATAGAAAACTATTTGTTTATTTTTTCCTTCTCTTTTTTCCTTGCTCAATTTTGTCAAAAGTTTGTTAGTCTTATTAATCTTCAAAAAACAACTTTTGGCTTTGTTGATCGTGTCTATTATGTATATTATATCTGAATTTATATTTATTTTCTTCTTTATTCTTTGGACTTATTTTGCTGTTATTTTCCTAACTTTTTCAGATGAATGCTTAGAATTGTGAACTTTCACTTTCCTTTTTTTCTAATATAAATATTTAAGTCTATAAATTTCCTTCTATTTTTAAGTGGAATTCCATAGGTTTGACATGAAATTATTTTGCTATTTTTATTTCTAAAGATTTACAACTTTTGCTATGATTCATTCTAAATATGATATGCAATAAGGGTCCTCTTCCCTATTACACTGCCTTGACAACTTTATCAAAAAAAGCAACTGACCCTGTAAACCTGTGGCACACACTTATAGTCCCAGCTACTCAGGAGGCTGAAGCAGGAGGATCTCCTGAGCCGAGAGGTCAAGCCTGTGGTGAGCCATGATTGTGCCACTGCACTCCAGCCTGGGCAACAGAGTGAGACCCCAACTTAAAAAAAAATTGACCATATATAGGAGGGACTATTTCTGGATTTTTTATTCTGTTCCACTGATCTTTTCAATACCACACTGTTTTTATTATTGTAGTTTTATGGTAAGTCTTGAAATCAGTAATCATTTCTGTTGTTTTCATTCCCATATTTATTTTAAAATCAGTTTGACAATATCCATGAAAAAGCCTGCTTAAATTTTAATTGGGATTACATTGAATCTCTAAATCAATTTGGGCAGAATTGACTTCTTAATATTGAGTTTTCTCATTAACAAACATGGTCTGCTTCCCCATTTATTTAAGTGATTTTAAATTCCTATCAGCAGTGTTTTACAATTTTCAGTTGTACTGTAAATTTTAAAACTTCACATTCTCCTCACACACAGGCAGTGAGTTCCCCTCTCAGGCCACCAGGTGTACCACTATGATAAGGTGGGCAAGTTCTCCTTTGTACCCACCCATGACTGTGACCTAGTGTCATTCAAATGCAGTAGTGAAATCCTTTCACATCTTTTCTTGTGTACCCAACTTTGACCCCAATAAAGGCATTTGCCCATATGTGCTTCCTCTCTCTCTCCGCCTCCCACCTGCTTGGCTGAGCCTGCTCCCTTTGTGCCCCCCCCCACCCCGCATACACACCATATTAACATTCCCCCTCAGCATTCAATGACACTGTCTCTCTAGGATCTGTGAGTATAATAAATTTGTTTTTTCCTGACCTTCTCTTCTGTGTCCTCTTATGAGATTATCTAATAAAAGAATACAAACCATCAATATACAGGTAGTATGTTTATTAAAATATTTATCC